ACGACTGAACGAGCTCCGAGATTGAAATAAAATTTTAGTTCCTAATATACCGATTTATAGAACACACTTGCTTTTACACCGTGAAATCGAATAGTCGAATAATTAATACGATACAATTCCGATACAGTCTAAACCGAAATTAATTCCTAGCCGCGATTTTGCCGATAGGTAAATTGTCATTGTTTTGATAATTTTTTTTTCTCGCCCGAGACTTTAAGCCGTGCTATTTGAAACCGATTTAATTTGATTTATTTTTAATTAAAAATATTCCGTGTTGAGTTAAGAATTGAAATTTGTTTTGATTAAGAAATACTTTAATTTATTTTTGTTAGAATACACCGTTCTTTATAAATTTAATTTTAGTTCATTTAAAGTTTTAACCGTTAAATAGTTTATTTTTCATTCGATCGTGAATATGGTCTTATAGTTAATTTTTCCTACTACTGGAAATTTCCGTGAATAAATAATAAATTTCATTTTAGTTTATTTAAAGTTTTAACCGTTAAATAATTTATTTTTCATTCGATCGTAAATATAGTCGTATAGTTAATTTTTCCTACAACCGGAAATTTCCGTGAATAAATAATAAATTTCATTTTAGTTTATTTAAAGTTTTAACCGTTAAGTAATTTATTTTTTTTCATTCGATCGTAAACATAGTCGTCTACTACTGAAAATTTCCGTGAACAAATAATATAGTTTATTAAAAGCTTTATCCAATAAAAAATTGGTAGGGACTGTTTGGAAATTGTCTAATGTTTTGATTGGTTATATTGGTAGAATTGCGACGAGACATTTTCTTTTGTTTTATCTTCCGAACCGCAAATTTTAAGAGAATTTAAATAGCATCATTCCCTGTCTGAAGCGACTCGTGATTACGATCACTTCATCCAGAAATAAGGTGATATCCTAATCATTAGTTTATTTTACATCTAAAACATTCATTTGCGTAAGTCTCCGTTATTTCAACAGAACTAAAATAGTATCATTCCCCTGTCTGAAGCGGCTCGTGATTCGATCACTTCATTCAGAGATAATGTGCTATCCCGGTTATTAGTTTATTTTACGTCTGAAACCCTCATTTGCGTTAGGCTCCGTTATTGTAAGTATCATTCCCCTGCCTGAAGCGGCTCGTGATTACGATCACTTCATTCAGAGGTAACGTGCTATCCCAGTTATTAATTTATTTTACGTAAGACTCCGTTATTTTAATTGAACTTAAATAGTATCATTCCCCAGTCTGAAGCGGCTCGTAATTACGATCGTTTCATTCAGAGATAATGTACTATCCCGGTTGTTAGTTGGTTTTACTTTTCAACCACTAGTTTGAGTAAACCTCTTATAGAGTCCCGGTTTCAGCCCTGGAATTAGTATTGTCCCGAACCTGTCCCCTCGCATTCTCTGCAACCGCATATGATATTTTGCTTTGCCGCAGCATTCAATTACATTTGATTGTAAATACCGATTAGACAATTTAACAGTTAATTTTTGCTACGACCGAATTAATATTTCCGAGCGAAATAGCAAGTTACATTTTTAGCTCAAAAATCGAATAGACAGTTCAATAATAAACTTTTGCTGCGACCGTGATAACTACAATTATTGATTTAATTTTTTTCTTTACGTCTGATTGAGACTCGGAAGTCATTTCCGGCCGTTTTGTTTGTTTATTTTTGTTCAGGGTTTGTACATATTACCGTGAGGGTGGGGATTAAAATACATTAATTTATTCCTTTTCTTTTTGTAAATAGTTTAAAACAATATATGTGTCAATGTTAACTGGCCGTATTACTGGTTGTTAATTCCTTACTTTATTTCCCCATTGTTTTTCAGCTAGTGATAAATTCTGTACCAGCACAAGCAACCATTAAAGCCCGTTACTTGTGGCCTTCTATTACCTGTGTCTAAGTGACCTTTGACCCCTGGAATTTTTCATCTCCTTTTGTAGCTACCCGAGTACTTTCGACGCCGTGCGCCGCTTCGAATGTTTGTGGAGTAAACCATCACCAAAAATCACCAGCGCCATTCGTAAGGAACCGTTTTCTCTGTGGTGAGAAAACCTCTTACAAAGCACCTTAATCTTGATCTAGTTTATTGTATTTCCTGCTTTATCCTGAGACATTTTTTAATTAGTTAAAGACATTGTCAGTGCTTTTAGATCTAAAATGTCACTAAAAGAAAGCTCCTGAACGAAGTAAGGCTTTTTTCGACGAGCAGTCCTAATGTTATTGGGCCATTCATGTGGGGTATAGATTATTTGGTGTTTTTTGTTAGTTTCGGTGGCGATATGCATTTAATCTACCTACATATCAGTATGACCTGTCCAGAGCCGCCGAGAGCCAGGTCGGGCCCTAGGACAATTCTACTTGAATTTCTCTAAAAAAAAAAAGGTATTCAAGCAAACATTTCTTCTCCTCTACATGAATTTCTCTAAAAAAAAAAATCTTCAACCAAGAACTTCCCCCTCTTGTATCGTACAAAAAATCCTCGCCACAGTTGACGGGCCCCCCTTATATCGCTGCCGGGCCTCCATTTGAGCCCGGGCCCCGGGAATTAGTCCCGGCTGCCCCCCTCTTGTCGGCTCTGGACCTGTCTCTAAAAAAATATGATCAATTATGTCTATGGGTAGTTGTCTGACAGCATACAAAAGTAGATGTTACCTTCTTTTAGATTTCTACGATGTAAATTGTACTTAAGAGGTGATTTAGCTGAAATTGCTGATACTGCGTGGATTCATAAATTGTAAAGCGACAAATAGGGTATAGTGTCACATAGGGTAAAGGACCACAGTTTGATAAAATAATGTTTTAATCGGTATGACAGTTAAAATATAATACAATTAAAATTAATATTATGTATGATGTACGAGTATAGGTACACATAGAAGGTATAACATAATTTGATATAAGAATTTATATTAGTTAATTTAGTTTATTGATAATTTATATTATTTAATTTAGTTTGGTGTACTCAAGGTGTACCCTACGATATGTTATTTATTATATTATGAAATGTAAGTCTGGGTGTATCTTTAATCCAAAGTTTAAGTGAATTTTTAAATGTAATTGTATTTTGGATATTTTTAAGTTCTGCTGGAATGCTGTTATAAATTTTAGGTGCAAGGTAATTAATGCTTCGTTGTTTGTTTTTTCACATTTAGGTACATTTATTTACGTATGAAGTAAATGGTAGATAACAGGTTTTTCCAACATTTAGTGTAAGTTTATTGTATTGTAACCATTTCTTAATTTGTTTGAAATCTATTTGCAGTTCGCTTTAATTCGGCCCAAGAATCTGCCTGATAAAAAATCGTGGTATCATCAGCAAAACTAAGGACCGCACCTTTGACGTCAAGATTTAGTAAACTATTTATATAGATAATAAAGAGATTTGGCCCCAGGACTGTTCCTTGTGGAACGCCAAAGGTTACTGTTCTCGCCTCGCTCTTGATACCATTAATTACAACCTGCTGTCGTCTATCCGTTAAATAACTTTTTAACAGTTCATATGGTTCCCCCCTAATACCATACGCATAAAGCTTTTTCAAAAGATTTTTGTGACAGACCGTATCAAAGGCTTTAGAGAGATCAACGAAGGAATTTTTTATCAATTGTTTCATAAATTAAAGATGTTAATGCTGATTTACTCGCTCTAAATCCATATTGATGATCTGGGATAATTTTATGTTTATTTAGAAACTGTATTAGACGCTCTTTAAAAAGTTTTTCTATTATTTTAGATAAAGTGGATAGCAAAGATATTGGTCGGTAATTACCGACTTCTAGTTTATTTCCAGATTTAAATAAAGGCTTAATCAATCCAACTTTTAGTGATTTGGGAAAATAGCCGTTATCAAAACGTCTGTTGATGATAATTTTTAAGGGATTTGCAATAAGATCTGCGACCTCTTTTAAGGTCTCACCTTTTATATCATCTAATCCAGGCGCTTTCCTTGATTTAAAAGTTTTTATTGTTTTTATAATTTCCTCTTCACTAGTGTGTGACAAAAACATGCTTTTTTAAGTGTTGAGATTTTGTCTTCGAAATTAACCGGTTCTTCAATTTTTTCAGCACATTGTTCTACCAAGTCGCTAAAAAAATTGTTAAATTCGTTGGCGATCTGAAAGTCATTAAGAATTAAGTCATTGTTTTTCGATAATATTTGAGATATTTTTCTTACTGTTTGCTCTTTGCCACATATACTATTTATACAGCTCCATAGATTTTTTGAAGATGATTTATTATCACTTATACATTTGTTTACATAATTAGTTTTACTTTTTTTTATTACTTACACGATTTAGATTATTATTGCATTTGTTGTATTCTGATTTCAACTCTTGATTATTTGGATTTTTGCAAAGTTTTTCATAAAGTTTATTTTTATGTGAAATAGATTGTATTAAATTATTATTTATCCAAGGTGTTTTTGGTTTTTTATTAGATAAAATTTTAACAGAATTTATGCAATTGGTGACGTGACTCGTAAATGTGTCCATCATAAAATCTATATCGTTTGATGTTTCTAAGAACTTCCAAGATTCCATGCTCAAGTAAATTCTCAATTTTGTGTAATTAACGAATTTTTTAAAATTAGAAATATTTGGTGTTTTTAAATAGTGGTAATTTTATCTATCAGACCGATAGGATCGTGATCTGTTGTGTCGTGTCGTGTCGTGTGGCAGAATAAAAGATTTAATATCCGTAATATTTTTGGACGAAATCTTAACAAAGTAATGATATTACTACTGATAATTTTGGGTGCTCCACAATTAATTGAATTCATTATTTTATTTTGGTGTGATTGTAGAACAAATCTTGCTTGTAATTCAAGCAGAAACATTTTTTTTTAAAAATTGGTATGGTTGTATTGATAGACCAATTCCCTCATTCTATTGGTTTAATCTTTCATTTGAGTAAAAACAGTTTTTTAACGGATGGCATCATAGATTTAAAAGGTTAATAAGAGGAATACGTTTTTGAATGAAAATAAATAAACACAGAAATCTGATTTTTATTATCTGTTGATTAAAGTCAATATTTTAACAACATATTACAGAAATATAATAAAAAAACTTTAGACGACTTCTCCCACAGGTCGAATTATCAGTTCGTTAACCTACAAATATAAAAAATAATTATACCTATAAAAAAACTAAGGTTTTTATATAGGGTGTTATTGAGCTACATGTACATATTTAAAGTGACAAGCGAATATGTTATCCATAAAAGAAGGTCACCGTACTGTAAGTTGTAATTTTATAAAAACTTGTATAGTCTATACGAAGTCAATTCGAACGGCATAAAAACTAAATATCTACCGACCGTCAGCGGCTTCTTTGTATAGCATGGGCGACGTGATTATAATTTTTTTCAAAATTAATTTTCATATACACCTACACTTATATTTTTTTTATTAGAAAAAAACACCAGTTTGTCCTGCTATGAGAATTTAATAAAAAGTTAAGTCATTTTCTGAATTTTCAGAGAGTGAATTTGAATTTATATATATTATAATAATGGAGGCAAAGGAAGGTAAAATACAGGGGAAAGTGGGGTAATACCACGCATCTAAGGGAAATTAATTCCCAATTTTCCATTTTTTATAATAAGCCGTTGGCATTTTGTGAAATATTTCTCAAAGATCTCTAGTATATGATGGTATATATCTTATTTGAGTAAAATACTGGAGAATTGGAAAATTTTCAAATTATGCAACATATGCATTTCACGGTATTGCCCCACCCAGTGGGGCAATATTACGCAACCAGTGGGGCAATACCGTGAATGTTGTTTGAGGCTGATGAAAAAAAAAATGTTAAAAGAAAATATGATATAATGAAATTAACAACAAAATTCTCAACATAAGAACATTTCTAAGAACTTTGACACGCTCTTTTGGATTTATTTAAATAAATATCGTTTTGCTTTATCTTTTTTTGGGTTGCCTTCTATACATTCATCACATGTATATTCCTTAGCTGATTTCCAACCTGTACACTCGGAGTGAGCCCATCTTCCACATTTTACGCAACGGTACCAGAGTTCTCTATTTTTTCCGAATTCGCCTCATATGATGCATAATTCGTTTGTCACAGAAGGCCTCTCGTACAATGCGTATTCATTCATATCTGAATTGCTGTCTTCAGACAGATCCAATTCCACTGATGAATCAGAGTTATCCTCTGACATTCCCTCCTCCTTTTCAACACGCTTTCTTTTTGTGTTAATTCTCTTCCGGTTTTCTTTTCCAAGTTCATTTACTTTTTGGTTACATGTTTTGTTTTGAGTATCATTTTTCTGGTCTCGTTTTGCTTGTTTTTGAACAAGTATATGCTTCATTGGTCAAAATTTCTGACTTTTGCCTCTTTGCTGTCCTTCTTTTCGTGAATTTCTTATTTGTTCTCATGGGAATAGGAGCAACATCTGATATTTTGGCAAACGAACATGATGGTAAAGGTTTAGGAATTGCTGCTGTTGAGGGTGTCGGTTCTGGAATAGCGGATATTGATGGTGTCGGTATCTCAATAGCTAAGGATCCTATTGGTGTCTGAGGAGAAATCATCTTAAAAGACCTTTCCCTTTCATCTGATTCTACATCCACAATAAATTCTCTAAATTCCTCAGCTGGTGCGAAGTCTTCTGCTGTAAACTTAGAGGGGTTGAAAGGAAATATACCGGCAACTCGAAATCCTGAAATTCCTTTATCCATAGTTGCTACTTTAATATATGCTTGATTAAACAAACCAGCCACATCGTACACTGTAATCTTCTCGTGTGCAGTTTAAATCAAATGGGAATCATAAACAGCAAAGAGAGATTTTTTAAGATGTCCAAAGAATGTTAAATCCAGAGGCTAAAGGTGATTTGATGTATGAGGGGGTATTGTAAGAAGTACGATATGGCTATTTCTGCAGAACTCATAAATTTCCAACGAAATGTGGCCTCCATGATTATCTAAAATAAGTAAAATCGGGTCGGTCGCATTAGAGTTGACATAGCTTTGGAAATGATTTAACCATTTTAGAAATAACTCATTATTTGACCACCTATTTTCAGATCAAGAATAAATGGATCCAATTGGGCCATCCTTTTCTGGTTGTGGAGACTTACGTTTCCTTGGATAAATAAACATTGGAGGGACGTAGGAACCAGCTGCACTGACAGCACATAAGATAGTAATAGTTTGTCCTCGTTCGGCTGAAATAGCAATTTCGACTTGCTTTTGTCCTTTTTTGGCGTATATTTTTCCAGACTTTTTCTGGATAGTTGCTATTCCAGACTCGTCAGCACTGAAGATCCTGTCTTCTGTAAATTGATGCTTTTGTAACAAAGTTTCAAGATTTTTGAAAAGAAGACCGACAGTATCGGCGTTGAACAATGAAATACGATTAAGACTTGTTCCTTCTGGCTGACGAAGACTAATTTGAGGATTTCTTTTAAGAAAAAGCCTCAGCTAATCTTTGCCAGCTAAGTTTGTTTCTTTGTTGAATTTATGGATTAGATTATTAGCGTCTGCAAAGTCAAAAGCCATACGCCTTAAGTGCCGCGGAGTTACTCCATAAAACAAATTCGCTAACCTCATAACGTGATCTGCTAGCTCTGGCTCTTGTTTTTTCGTAAAAACTGGTGTCCGTCCCAAGCCATGCGTCTCATCAAGTTGAGCTGAAGCTTCACCGTCTGCGCCGGTACCTCTTTTTTTTAAATGATAACGAACTGTCGATTCTGGAATATCGAAAGATCAACTTTTTCGTTGAGTTTTTCTTTTGTAATTTCTTACCATCTGAAATAAAAAGTGGAAATATTTTACCAATTAAATCAACGCAGAGCAATACTTAGCAAATTTAGAGGTGGCGCAATACCGCTCATCTTACCATTGAAATCAATGTGGGGTATAATATCGCGCATATGTGGGGTAATACCATGCGCGGTATTGCCCCATATCGACACTGGTCCTATTTTCTAATCTCACCTCGGTTGTTTACTGATGAAAATTAAAAACGGTAGCAGGTAAAAATAAGTAAAAGAACCAATAAAATATCTATAGTAGCCGATTTTATATTTACCTAATATTTAAACTTACCTCGCTTATTTCCTGGTAGCTCTAAATTATAATAAAAGCAACGACACTCACGCTTTAATATACTGCGAAGTACTGGATGCTTCGATCGACTGCAGAACATTTGTGGCATAGTTACCACATGTACCAGGTAACGTACGAGTAGTCAAATTTATTCTGGAATGCCCAAAAACCTGTGTTTCTGTGTGCGCGATATTACCCCGCTGCGCGGTATTAGCCCACTTTCCCCCAATATTCATTCTCCTTTTCTATGAAATGCTGGGCACATTTCATCCATTTACCACTGTCGTGGTTATTAATGAAGTAAACTTCATTAATAACCGTTCGTATATTTCCTAGTACGGAAGCATTGTCAGTTGGAGATTGATTATATTTTTTCAGGTTTTTTTTTTTTTAACAGCAGCCCAAACATCTTGATCGGATTGAATTCGCAATAATAGGAAGGAAGACATAGAATAGTAAGACCATGGGCTTCGCATATCTTGTCGATTGCATATTCTTTTTGAAAGTTTGCTTTTTTTATAGCTTTCAATAACACTTTTTTGTTAGCCGTTGTAGGAATTTCCATATTTTTACTTTCCATGAATTTAAGAATGTCTTCCTTCTTTGTGCTGCTATTGGGAATTTTGTTATGAAGACGGGAATGATAAGGCGCATTGTCCATAACAATAACAGAATTTGGGGGAAAGATTTGGCAGCAGTTGTTCATTAAACCACTTTTCAAAGAGACTGGCGGTCATATCTCCATGATAGTCAGCAGATGACTGTTTTATATTTTTTGCAGATAATAGAAGAGCATCAGGAACAACACCCTTATTACAGCCTGAGTGTAGAATGATAACTCGTTTACCATATTTAACAAGATTATGTGTGTCGAACCAAGTTTCATCAAGGTACACTATCTCTTTTTTGATTGGCGGTATTGCTTAACTTTTCGTAAATACTCCTGTCGCCATGCTACGATGCGAGATGACTATATTATGACCATTCTTTTATTACATTTTTTGTACTTGAAGCCACAATCTAGCAAAATATTACGCAAAGTGTCTACGAGATTTATATTCATAATCGGGATATCGACCTTCTGATTATCACTTTTTCGTTTTACGGAATGATCAATGTATAAATTACGAGGAAGTTTAGTCAGCTCAGAAATCCTTTTTAAAATTTTTTGTGATGCCCCACGCATTTCACTTTTCAAGCAAATGTAAATAGTTCACATTTGAGGATGCAAGTCTTTAAAAATTATGACGGCTCCGCCAAAGAATTATCTTCAGCCGAGCCTTCAACATTGTCCGTTTCAACATCAGAAACATCAAGAAAAGGTCTCCATAACGTCATCTTGATTAAATAATAACCACAAGAAAACAATTTAGAAAAACACGACACCAATGTAAGCCAATCACTAAAATTCCCAAGAACGCAGAATAAACTAATTTTGTAAATCCTTACTCAAGCCACAGCACTGAAAATTTACCTGAAAATGCAAACAACGGTGTTTACAGTGGACTCATATTTTGCTTGTGTGTCCAAGCAATATTATTTGTTCGACTAGATAATAGTCATTTTCTTTTTACAAGCATACTTGACTAACTAAAAGTTAGATTCTGATCTAAGCTTAACTGTAAAAAGAACGCGAATTTTGGTTGACAGGTGACGTGTCCCATGTCATCCGTTTAAAAACAATCCATATTTTAATCAAATTTTATAATTTTTTCAACAATCAACACTACAAATCTCACCCCCTGTTATCATAGTCTTTTATTCTCTCTAAAATAATGAATTCATGGGATATGTTTGTTCATATGATGCACAGAACACTCACTTTCTGTGATGGTTTATGGTTGACGTCAAGTACCGTGCACCTTAGCATCGGTAAGGGGGAAAGAAAGATTCTGACTTACAATCATAAAAAGAACGTACATCTCAGCTTAGTCGATGTAAGTTAGCTCAGATTAGTTGTAAAAAGAAAACTGCCGACATACAGTTGTGAGAGATAAGAAATTCATACGAGGTCTAATCAACAATTTTATATGGGAGGCTGTATATGAATATTAACTAGTAAATTTATCAGACCCAGTAAATGAGTCTTTTATTTAGCTATTCAAATTGATTTTGTATAGACTATACACGATTGCTATGTGTGAAGATTTTGAACAACGTATGTATAAGTTTCTAATAAATTACGGTACAAGCAACCAAAAATATAAATTGATTTGTTTTTTATTAAGTTATATGATTACAAGCATTAGACATTTTTTAACTTTAAAAACTAGACGTGTGATTTAAAAGTGAACTCATGTTTGTTATAGAGATCAAGTACTAACAATATATCATAATTTATGACACTCAACGGAAAGCTATTTTACATAATAATAGAGCGGAGATTTTCAGTAAAAATTTTATTTTTTATTATTTTCTTTTTACTTTTTGGCACTATCACCTATGAAACTTAAACAAAATATTTTAATACTTACTAGTACTGAAGATGGGGTAGACAGAACGTAGACAACTGCTTCGGCAATATCTTTAGGTTGAAGAAAATCTATTTGGGTTTTGAGAAAATTTAAAGCGCCAATTTTTTTACTGCTTTCTGTTATTAAATCAGTGTCAACTATTCCAGGACTGATATCCTGAAAAATTTAAATTGTTTAAGGGTGAGTATCATCCGGATTTAAACTTATCTCTTATTTGAAGACTGAACATGGTTCTAGATAAAAATTTGTATTTAATTTTTTAACCATGATTTAAAATAACAATTTGGACTTAAAATTATAGTAGTAAAATAATCTGCGCAACAATAAAAAGCACAATATCGTATCCAGTTTGTGTTCAATCCAAATGTGAAATAAAACATTCAAATTCAATCATTCATGTTGTTTTAAGGATGGGTGCTCTAAAAGGCTCAGGCACAGAATGCTCAGGTAAGGCGATGACAGGCCCCGAACACATAAAACACAATTTGAAGAAGCATTTTTTGCTTACCGTAATTTTAATTTTAGATCCCATACTAGCCAATTCTTGTCTAAGAACTTCGTGTATTGCCGTCACTGCATGTTTGCTAGGTGAATACATATTAGACAAAGGAAAATTGGCTACATGATGTCCCAAAATGCTATTAATGCTTACTACATGACCATCGAAATTACCTTCCCTCATAGACTTTATAGATTCCCTTGTAGCAATTGACAGACCAATTACGTTCACCTGAAGAACATCTGAAAAATAAAACATGGCTCGCTATCATTGTTTTTTTATGAATTAACAGTGCATAGGAAAGTTAAAACCAGTATTACCTGTCCAACTTTTGGTATCACTCTCCGTAAATAGACTCAACTTAGAAATTCCAGCATTATTAACCATTACATGAACTGTACCCAAATTGTCTTTGACCCACTTGAACGAACTCAGAATATCATCTTCTTTGCTCATATCCGTTTTGATGGGGTAAAATTTTCCCTTTTTTCCGGTAACACGTTTTGCTATTTGGTCTAGCCTTTCTTTTCTTCTAGCTAGACCTACTACCTAAAAAACACATTCGGTTTAAAAATGTTTGTTGCTGTTGTTTATTGTACAAGTTTGTTTCAAAACCAGTTGACCAGTAGTTGAAGCTGGCTGTGAAATTTAATTTTTTTGAATTGTTACTTTAGCTGTTTTCACAGAATTGTAATAATTGGTAGGTATTATTATTTGAAAATATAAAGAATTTCACAAAAATTCTAAAAACAATTTTTTAATGATTTAACTTATTATTCAAAAGAAAACGCATATATTAAAATAAAACAAACTACTCACGTAAATTTTGGATTTAAATAAAGAGACTAGACAGGCGTCAAAAAAACAGTAGGAACTGCGGTCTGAAACACTTGCCGAAAGGCAAGACTCTCGTTTCGGGGACCTAAGTCCCGAAACACCGTAATGTGCAAAGTAAAGTATTGTGCAGCGATTTGTGTACTATAGGTAAATATGTTTACCTTATTTTAAAAGTGTTATTGAGTTTTGTTTTGAAATTAGTAACTGATTTTCATATGAATGCCAATTTTTACAGTTCAATCCCAAATTTATATCCCTTACATAATTTATCTTATATTTATCAATATTCATTTATTTTAAGATTTATTACCTAAATATAGATTGATTATTTATTCGTGAAACTATTAGTCATTTTGTAATTATTTTAAATTATTCTCTCCAAAAACAGTTATGAAATATTCCACCCTATAACTAGATGCCAAAGCCGCTCGACTATGCTATTAAGGGAGTTATTTGCCACTTGTGAATGGATGTTCCTTCTGGACACCAGGACCCTTTGGATGGTGACAGTGCTGTCTTAATCCCTTAATAGTATATTGACAACAGTACCTAAAGACCTATATCAGTTGATACAAATGGGTCTTTAGGCATGCTTCGTTGTTACAGTGGTGACGAGCGCGGTGGTCCTTTAGACTAGTTGGTTGTTAACAGAATTACATTTTCATTGTAAACACAATTTATTACCTCGAAAAAAAAAACAAATAATTCATTATCGAAATCATAATCAAATTGTACATAAAACTACAGAAATTGTTGAAAATGTTGTAGTCCCTCATCTGGCTGACAAAAAGTGGTATGTCATCTTTTTTGCTTGCTATTGTAGTTAGACACAGGGAATAGGAGTGAACAACATGTACTATGATAAAATGTAAAAGTAAAGTCAATGGATTTTTCGTTTTTTTTTTCTGGCAACGAAATTTATGCTTCTGGACGTCAATAGCATTTTTTGTGTCGACAAAAGGGATAAATAGGTTGAAATAGGTGTAAAATCGGAAACAAAGCCTCAAAATGTTTATATGACTCTTTAATAAGTGTATTGCCCTTGCAAGTAATTTTTATTGAGTAGTTCTACTCCATTCGCCATAAATTAGACTATTTTGACATTTTTTTTCTAGAAAACCCAGGGTGGATTAAAAGTTTGATTGCTCTTGAAATGCTCGTATGACTTTCAACTAAAAATATTGCTCTTCGGCCATTTTTTAATTAGCTACTATTTTACCCCACTCAGTCTCTTATTCACCCTGAGTTTTCGTAAAAAACGTATCAAAATAGTCTGTTTTATGCTTCGAATATATGCTCGAAGGGGTTATGGCGTTAAACATTTTCCTATTTTTTATAAAACGATAAAACAAAGTGAATTCGAGAGACGCTAAAATGGTGGTTCCCACCTTATCGAGAATGAGGCCCACAAGGCTAAACTCGTAGCGTAACAAAAACGAGAAATGATTTAACTTGGAACGAAAGACCGAAAGCCGATAGTAGTATTAGGACGTTGAATTTTTTGGTTTGTGAATCATTGGCATTAATTAGGTTAAACCATGTGATGATTTCCATAAGCCTTGATTTTTAAAACCATTCTATATCGCCTTTTGATTAGGGTTTACAAACTTGTTTGAGCTATTTATCCAATAATAATTGGCACCTTTACCTCTTAAGCCTGCTCATGTAAAATATTTGGGCTCCTTACTTCGCCTGTTTATATAATATTAATAAAGGACAGAAGGATGAGTATTGCAACTATGGTAAAAGAAATAAATTGGCTTTCGGTTCAGAATTATGTTCAGTACATGACTGATATTTATAAAATAAAAATGGCATAGTACCATGGCATCAGATTTATTAGAAAAAAATCAATATAATTCGAAATATCACAACTAAAATACAAGAAGCCAATCTGACTTTCATGTATGGCAAGCCATCACTAAAAGTTTCCAAAATACAATTTTTATTAAAGGTTTAACAAATTTAATAGACTGCCTACAGAAATAAAAAAAAAACAATAAATGTATTCAAAAGTAACCTCAAACAATACTTAATAAATAAACAGAATCTGCCCTTTTTAAGTATTTCCCTTAATTTATTGTTATTTTACCCCTCGTTTCACCCGCATTTATTATAAATTATTTCTATTTTGAGATCATGTACTTTATTTTAAAAAATTACTTCATGTTATAATAATACTACTTACTATGTTTAAATTATTAATAGTTTTGCGACGATAGGTTATAGCAACTTATAGCCAAAAAACAATTTTTGTGTTAAAGTAGATCCATAGAGAGCAATGTACTTTACAAAGGCTTTCTTTCAACATACAAATAAATGACAACTTTATAACTAAAATAAAAAACAACAAAATACCTCGGTACCAAGGTAAGACGATTCATTTTTAAATTTTATTTATTGAAGAAATTTATGACTAGAAGTTTACTAATTATTTACAATTCGCTGGTAGAATATGTAATCCAAAAATCGTATAATAAATTTTTTTTACAAAAAACCAGCATTATATCCTACCTTTGTATAAGAACATTACATTTTCTATCTTGCTGTACCTTTATGGAAACCCTGAATTGAGATATACTACAAATTATTTGCAATAAATATCAAAAGAAGTATACATTTTTAAATAATTTGACATTTAAGAGCCATTCACACATCACAGTTGACATCTTGATACTTGACAGGCACAGCCAAGCATTATTCTGATTTTGCCAAATAAAATGGCCAGTTAATTAATTATTCTATGGGGTTGCGACAGAGAGCCAATAAATTTGATGAAGGTGTTTTTGTGGCTAGGGGCGAAATAGTAGTACGCTTAAGTTAGCACCACCATAAAAAAGTAATTTTTAAGAAATTGCTTATATATTTTTCATAAATTGGCAGGCTTGGCTACTAATTTCGAATAAAAATAGCCTCCAAAATGGCTATGATTGCAAGTATGAAGGTCGCAACCGCCTTAGAAATTTCACCTTTACTATCAACAGCTGTTGTTTGACAGGTCGTTAGAGAATGTTTGCAATTCATGGAATTTTAAGAATGTTAGGAATGTTGACTTAGAAATAATTGAAATTATTAAAATTGTAACATAAGAAATGGATATACGGATTTTAAGAAAATTGATTATAAAGTAGTTAGGATGAACCGAAAATTCTGAAAATTAATAGGGTTCTAAGTTACAAGTGATTATTCAAGAAAATCAAAACCGCAAGTCAATCAGAACTTTCGTTCTAGAGTTATCGTGCCGGCATACATACATACATACAGACGACCAGACGAAATTTTTTTTTTGCATTTTCGGAAACATGAAAAAAAGTTTTAAAAAATGGGGGTAAGAAAATAGGAAGGGCCTCAGTAATAAAGACAAACCGTTAATAGTGATTAGCGACAATACGATGGTGAAAACGGTAACGGGAAGTCCCTCCACGAGAGGGGGTTCTGACCGCCAAAAGCCCCCCGTGTCTACGCCACTGGGCCTAGTATGGCTCTAGAATCGGAGCCCTTCATTCTACTCTTCAAATTGAGTTGTACAATAGTATCTCAAATCAACTATCTTTTGGTTTCTTCGGACCTCTGTATGGATCATATCATTAGAAACTGTTCAAATTATACATTACTGTTTAGGCTCCAATAAATGATTTATAAACATATCTCAGCTGAGTTAGACTTGACTAGTGATGGGAAATTCGAATGCAAAATCATTCGAATATTCGAATTATTACTATCATTCGAAATGTCTCGAATTACCTAGAAATGATTCGAAACATTTTAGACTTTTCAGGCTATTCAACAACTAGTGTAAATCGGCGAATCAACATTATTATTTTTTTAATTTAAAGGCCTCAACTGCCAAAATCATTCGGCATAATTCAAATCATTTTGTAGAATTTATAAAATAAATATAGAAATACAAATATTTTACTTTTCCAAACTGTAATTAGCTTTTTTAAAACATCCTATTAGCGTTTTTTTTATAATACCGCTTTATGCATCCGATTCAAATACTGAAGTAAATTTGTAGTATTGCCAATATATTTAAAAGTTTTCTTACAAATATTACATTGTAGCTTGTTTTTCTTCAGTTTTTAAAAATATTCCCAAACTTCGGACTTTAACGAAGGAACCATCTTTTCTAATTAAATGTTATCGTTATCTAAATTTTCAATATAAAACATAGAACCAAAATCAAACATAAATAATCAAATTTTTTTCATTTTTTAAACCTCTAAATACAAATGTAAATAAGAAGAAGAGAATAATAAAAGTTAAAAATTATATTTACGGATGTGTAAATGGAACTCAGAGTAGAAAACAGCAACAAATTTTTAATTTTAACAGGAAGTAGGATTTGCGCATGAGTAACAGATATCATTAATAGCGGGAAAGGTCTATTAGCATGTTTTTTTATTTTTTATTTTTGAAAAAATTTAATTAAAAGTTGTAACATGACAGAAACTACTGTTATAACAACCAATATGTTACTATATAAATGAGCAATAAAAATGACTGCGCCCAAATAATCGCATCTTGTTCCATTGAAACAACATGTACATTGGCCTTCTACCCCACTCCAGTTTATTGGTGGGAAGTGACAATTTGGATATGGCAACTCTGTGGTCCTGTTGTTATTGACAGGGTCAATGATACATATATAGTTATATAAATTTCTCAAATTGATCTTTTTCGAGCGGCTATATTGCCTGGCAAGTGTTCATTAATTTAAATGGGTTTAGCAAAACTGCGTTTTAAAACTAATTTCAAGCCTTTAAAATATATTAAAAATATTAATTACCTACATTTTTACTTCAAGGGTGCTTCAAGGCATAAGCTTATGTTTATTTTTAAAAACATGGATGATCAATCTATATGTATAACTATCTATTTCATTGACCCTGTCAAATCACCAGGCCCACAGTGTTGCCATATCATAATCTATCATGTGCCTGTCAGTGGCCTGCTTCGTATGCTCGAAGGTGGCCTGTCATTACTTACGGGCAACCATTTTGTTTGGATTGCCTAATAGTAAGAACCGCAACGTTTAAAAAAACCCAAAAATCATCGATCAAATTGGTGCCAAACAGGGTTGTAACAATGTTGTGTTAAGGTCGGCCACGCAACTTATCATTGGTTGCGCAACTTTTTTAATACGTCACCGCAACGTTAAATTTTTTCTTGGGCAGTGTATCCCAAAAACATACCGACAAACTTTAAGAGGTGATAGGTGACATCAAAATAAACTTTTTTTTGTTCAATAATAACACAGTTTATGGCTAAAGAATCAGTTTGCTCACTCTGCGTCGGCACTTTTGATCTCAATATTCCAGTTTATACACTGCGCAACTCGGATTTGTATCCCTGGCGCATACAGAATCAAATCATAACCAATACAATATATGACAACCGCCTACTATAGGCAAACAGCAGTCTTCTGCGCATCCTGAATTTGTATCCCTGGAGTGGATGTTATTTTGGAACATTCAACTGGTCCAAGTGAGCTAACTGATTCTTTAGCAATAAACTGTGATAATAATATATGTCCGCAAATGAGCCGTGTGGGCAGAAAAAATTAAAAATGGTTTTATTTCAGTGATAAATAATTAATTAAAAAGTTTTGCACGAAATACAAGTATTTCCTTTTGAATCTAAACTACGTGCACACAGCTGTCAACCTTTTTTGGTTATTTCAATTAATATTTATTTTAAAAATGTTCAGAAGAACTAAATGAAATAAAATTACAATAACTGTTCAAAATGTTGATCAATTGCCTCAATGCAAAAATTGCACCGCCAAGTCGGTTCAATGACTCGCGGACCCTAGGGAGTATTCCTGGAATAGCTTCTACATGTGTAAAACTAGCCTTTATTCTTGCTAAGGGATGTTCATCATTACGAATAGGCACTTCATAGACATATGCACCATAAGCAAGGTAAGTTCTTGAAATGAGATGATATTATCGTCCATTTTGAATACAAATTTTAAATAAACTAATATTACTGCGGTCTTAAAATTGGCAGCTCTGGAATGTTTATTGTGATAAAAAAATGTTTTTGCTCCCCAAAAAAAACGTAGTTGAAACAAAAATGTCGAACGAAAGACAGTGGTGTTCAACTAAATGAAGAATTAATTTAGTTACCTATTTGGAATGATTTAAATTTATAACATTTTATTACTCTACAGCCCAAACGGTTTATTTGCGGACATATGTTTATTAAATAACAACATTTCATTTTTGGGACACCCAATTACACTAATTTAAAAAACAAATAACAATTTTCTGAAAATTGACAATGGAAAACGGTTAAAAGTTGTTTTAAAATTATTGTTCTTAATTTGGCCAAAGAACGTGAACATTAAAATTTTAAATGATCATCAAATGAATAATTATCTATTACTGACCTGCATGCCTTCTTCAACCAATCTTTCAGCAATGGCTTCCCCGATTCCAGAACTAGCTCCAGTTACTATTGCTACTTTCCCTATCCACTTTTCATCCAATGTCACAACCATTTTACTGAACAAATTAAATTAAAATTAAGTAATATTTTTCAATAAATAGTTGGAAAAGTTATGTGTGTAATAAGGCAGATAGTTAAACTGAAAATTAAACTAATTAAATAAGACAACATAACTTATATAGGTAATGAAGTGTTTTTTTATTAACAGTATTTATCTTCAAGGTTTTAAGAATAGAATCCGATTAAAATTAATTATGCGTAATAAATATAATTTGCCAATTGATTGACAACTCAAAAATATATATAAAACCCGGTTACTTAGGAAAAATTTCATAATCCAATCCTACTGACGGATTTAACCAAGTCAAGTTTTTATTTAAAGTTCACTATAAAGTCTCCTTTAAAAGAAGTTTTTTCATGATAGTTATCGTAACGTACTAAAACATGCTAAAAAAATATAAATACAATATTTTTCCGACGACCAAAAAATGATTTAAATAAAAAAAAATATGTAGAACCAGGAAATCTGGCTATGGATGTTTAATCAAGATGTGGCTGGTTTTAGATTTGTTTTTGTATATACCTTATTGAATAATTTTTTAAATGTTTTACGGATGGTGTTTTGTAAAAATTAAATACGTTGTGATTCCATTTACAAACACTTTCATAGAATACTACACTAGTGGAAAAAATTAAGGTGTCAAAAAAATCTCGATTTTTTGCAATTTTTCGAGTGGCTGTATCTTTGGTAAAAATGGTTGTACGTGAATGAAAAAAAAAGCAATTTGAAGCTTGAATTATCTAGTTTATGGATCTTACAACAAAAAAATTCCAATCAACAATTAGCACAAAATCCTGATGAATATCAATTTCTTCAAAAATTCGTTCGCATGAAACAATGAAACGGCTTGATGGATCAGGTTGAAATTTTGTAGGGCTTTCGTGGGAACAATGACCTGCAAGATGCACACTCAACATTATTCATTTTCCCAATATTCTCAATGTGGCACGTGATTTTCTAAAAAACCTCAAAAAACCTGTTTTCCGAAATTCTTCAAAGTCATGCTAGGGATGAAAAAAATTTTTCTTGTGAAAGAACATGCCATAACCTTGTAGAGAATGAATCGAAGTTTCCGAAACCCCCTTTCCATTTTCTGAGCGGCCATTGGTTCCTGAGATATTGACGAGAGAAGAAGAAATGATAACTCAGCAAGGAAGGGTCATCTCGAGGCCATCAAAAATAAGGAATTGAAGCTAACTGAACTACCTATCCAATGCATATAGTACTTATGTCGAGAACATTTTTTTCAAGTCCGTACACTAAAAACAAAAAAAAAAAAAATTTCAAAAATTTTCTATCCATGATATTCATCAGGATTTTGTGCTAATTGTTGGTTGGAAAATTTTTTTTATTACAAGATCCATAAACTAGACACTTTAAGTTTCAAACTGATTTTTTTTTCATTTATGTACGATCATTTTTACCAAAGATACAGCCACTCGAAAAATCGCAAAAAATCGATATTTTTTTTTGATCCCTTAATTTTTTCCACTAGTGTATAATGATTTTTAATTGAACAACCGTGAATAAGAACATTCTTTTATTATTAAATTTATGACTACTTATAGTAATCAAAATAGTAGCGGAAAAATTAACGAATTGCCTAACTGTAGAAATTATATTACGATAAATAAGGTATATTTAAAATAAATAAACAACATTAGTCGTATATTTTCAATTTTCATATTTATCCAAAATTGAAAAATAAAAAAACCTTTTTATTGTGAATTGACCCTGCGTCATGAAATACAAAGTTGATGAACTTGAAAACAAACTTGAGTCATCACCTTAGGTCCAGTAGAATTATCTATTCAAATATGTATATTTATATTAAGCAGATAAATAATACATAAAAATAATGTAGTAAAAATGTTTTAAGGATTTTCTAATATAAAATTGTATTTAGATGCGTGCCATTGGGAATACTTCGTGATATTATGTGTCTTGACAATATTGAGAGCTTTAAATTTGTGCAACGATAAAGTAGCACTCTACAGAGACTTTTAAGAAAAAAAGGTGGGAAAGCATTCTATTTAAAAACTACTAGATATTTATTAAAACAAAAAGCAGTAAATTTTTATAGATTTAATACCGAATGGCGTGTAAATGTTTTTTTTTTAATTCTTTTTAAAAATTTTCAAAATAAATACTTTTCGAAGGTTTACAAAAAATTAAAAGTTTCTCCACCCTAACTTTTGTTATTATTGGTATTTCCTGAAAATTTCACAAAAATCGGATTAAAAATAAAGGCTCAGAATGAATTATTAATTTTCGAGGTGTCCGGTTTGCTCTTAATAATTGTTAAAAATAACATACTGGCTAGCCGACCGCCGGTGGTAGTTGAATTTGATAAAATGAAAACCGTCTTCCGGCGGCATGGTCTTCTCACATATAAGAAAGCCGCCGAAAATCTGAACTGATTTGTTGATGAGGGCGGCAGTATTGATAAGGCCGCCGGACGACGGTTTACTGTATTTGAAACATTAAATGCCGCCGAAAAAAAACTGGCATATCGGGGACAACACTAATCATTTGTAATTGCTGTGGTGGAAGGTGTTTGTGTGAATGCGTCTTGTTTGTTTTCATTTACGCCGTGACTAGCAGTAGTATTTTATAAACCTTAGAAGTAAATTTCACATACATGAACAACTAATAATAATGCCGTGACAACAAGTAATGACTTCTCCCATAAAATTTCAATCCATACCTGGCTACGCCAACCGGCATAAACACCAACGGCCTGGACACAGCTCATCGACTCTGTCAAAAGGAGACCGATGTACAAATGTAGACGATTTTACAAGTATTTTTTATTACCACCGGCATTCAATGTTTTAAATACAGTAGACCGTCGTCCGGCGGCATTTTTCAATTCACTGATAGCATGCCGCCCTGATCAACAATGGGCCCGTTCACTTTTATTTTTGAATGTGAATTATTTATATATTTATAAAGATATTAAACTCTATTGTCTGGTGGTACTTTTCCCATTAAGATATTTTTGCTAGTAGTAAGGGAATTCCCATTAAATTCTTTCAGTGACTCATTGCGTCAGAAAACCCCTATATGTGAGAAGACCATGCCGCCGGAAGACGGTTTTTGAATCCGCCGGCGGTCGGCTAGCCAGTATGTTATTTTTAACAATTATTAAGAGCAAACCGGACACCTCGAAAATAAATAATTCATTCTGAGCCTTTATTTTTAATCCGATGTTTGTGAAATTTTTAGGAAATACCAATAATAACAAAAGTTAGGGTGGAGAAACTGTTAATTTAATTAAAATTATATGGAATTATCCAGTATTTTACAGAAAAAAGCATTCATCATGGGCGTATACAAGGGGAGAAGAAGGCGGCTGCCCCCCCTAGATTTTCCAATATATAATCCTAAAAACCTTATTGGTAAGATACAAGGTTAAAATTATTCAAAAAAATTGAACACCCATTTAAAATGACGACAAGCCCCCACTGCGTATATCAATAACACTGAGCAAGCAT